TGACATACGACTGAGGTCCAGGGCAGTTTTGAAGCTATGTTGAGTTGAAAAACTACCCTGAGAAAAACAGGGTCAGCAAAACAATCAGCACTCTCTCTAAATAACTTTAATCATGAAAAATTATTTTTGTGGGGACTTGTCACTTTATGTATTCATGTAAAAAACAGCTTAATCAGACTGTTGCTTTACTCACTGTGTTGGCTGGAGTCATATTGTTGTTAAGTAGCAACTTACAATTATTTTAAATCACTAAAGATATCAACTCGTTATTGTATGAATGACACTGATCGTGATTGTAGTAGAAATTAGTAGGAACATTTTTGTTTACTCACTTGGTGGAGACATTTGTAGGGTGACATTTCACAATGTGATATGAGCTTTTGGCTGTTGTGAGTGTGTGTTTAGGACTCAGTTAAGGTGATCAGGGCTTAATTTAGCTGAACATCTGTGATGTTAGCCACTCTAGTGAGTGCCAAGTCATGTAACAGCTCTTTTTGGCAGTAGTCAAACATACTAGCTGCTTCTGCCATCTTTATCTCATTTGTGAGTCCATAAACAACAGCAGCAACCTGAGTACGACCACAGAACTGCTGTAGAAAGGTTAAAGGCCAACCTGCATTCCTCTGCCAAAGTGTTGTTTGAGGCCCACCATGCATTAAACACAGTAAGGGCAAAGAGCGAATCTGGGTGAACTAAAATAGATGTGGCAACTGTTTATGGCGTTGAGGCAGTGGGGAAAAAACCTTGAAGAGGATTCTGACATTAGCAGGAGCCTTGATGACAACTTGGGAGATTCCTAATTAATATAGTAAATTTTCAAAAACGTGTTTTTTGATATTTTCTGTTTATCATGTGATTGCATGTGTGCCAACAAGGATGTTCAGTAGGGATGACCCAATCAATTTATCTTTGGCCCTGATCTGAGTGCTTTAGTATTGGGTATACTTGCTAGCTGTAGACTACCTTTGACATACCTTATTTTTCACAAGCTACTTCATTTAAATGCTGAAAGTCCTGGTTCAAAACAATTAACTTTATAAGCTTAAATTATTGGTCTAACAAATTAAGAAATAGCTTGAAGCAATCAATCAGCAATAGAAGAATGTGGGATGTTACAGCAAAAGGTGAAGATGTCTTTTTCCTTTTTTAAAAACATTTTCCTTAAATAGTTTGACATTTTGGGAAGCAAGCTTATTTTTCTTCTTGCCAAGTGTTGGATGCCACTCTCATGTCTGTCTGTTAAATTCTAAGGCTACAGCCAGCAGCCACTTAGCTTAGCTTAGCACAGCTAGCCTGGCTCTGTCCAAACATAAAAATAAAAATAAAAATCTGCTTTATTTTTTTAATCTATACGAAATGTAAAAATTACAAGTTGTGGTTTTATGTTCTGTACTATTTCTTGGGTGGGAGTAGTGACTTCCTAAAGTCATCAGTGTAACGTTGGCAGACAGTGGATCAGTGGATCCTTCTGGAAATGACTATGCCTGTGTGTTTTTATGGATTAAATGAACAAGATATAGCTAGTAAATTAGTAGTGCTCGTAGCCCCTATAGTCGACCAAACCATTAGTAGCTGAGAAGAGACACATCATTTGGTAGCATTATATTTCCCAAAAAGCTTGTTTTGGAATTGTTAAGTGCATACTAGTTTTAGTTTTTGTTCCTGAAAGTTTGACAGTCCTTACATACATTGTTAAGGACAGAACTGCGCATACAAAATCTATTGTGAAAACAACTGCAAGGACTTTTTGAAATGCAGGAGCAATGCAGGAAAGGGCTGTTACGCAACAAAAGGATATTTGAGGAGGATAACAGTAGAGCGTCTTTTCCCAGCCATTATTTAGATAACCTTTTGTGCTCATTAGTTTCATTCTGTCTGAATTATTCTCTCACCCTGTGAATTATATGGTAACTTCTCAAGCACTAAAAAGTACATCCAAAAACTTTGGAAATTACTGTTTTCCCCTACCTTGTTTTTTATTCTTGACCCAGAAACTAAATATACTCCAGAAATCTCAGGAGTGTGTTCAAGTGAATCATTTCCAGACAGTTAATTCCTCTTGAAATGTGAGCAGGAAAGTCCAGTCAAAAACCATGTTTTTTAGAAATAAGATGAATGGATGTTTGATCAGAAAACATTGATGACTGTAAATGTTGTATAAATTAAAACAGGCCCTTTTTCAGTGATGCATATACACCCCCTGCTACGTTGAAAGCAGCAGTAGTCCTCTGCTGAAAGAGGCTACTGTTAGCTGAAGTGAATGTATTTTTTCACATTCAGTTTTGGGTTTGATTCAGTTTTATGACAGCTGTCACCCATGCCACCCCCACCACAGACTGCTGAGACAAGACATGTACATAGAACATGATGCAAACTGAATAATTTAAGGAGGACAAACTTGTGTAAAAGAAACTGAATGCAAGTTTCCACCCAGCTTGGCGAGGAAGTAGGAAACTATAGGAAACCTGGAAGTCCACTGCTCTCATTTATTTTGTATTGGGTCTACATTGAAACAAAGACAAGTGTTAGTTAGTGGAAGAGTGAGGGTAAACACTGCAATTAACTATCATAAGATATTTGCATTTTCTAAAGGCTGCCTATGTTTTCTTTGTTAAAATAAACTCCAATTAGCACATTTTTAAACAGCAATGTATTTCAGATTTAATGAGTCATATGTGTGTCTTTTGAGTGTCTCTTTTAAATTACTTGATATTCAACACATTGTCTAAAAGATGTTATTTTATCCATATTTGAAAATGCATAATGAGGACATTGAATTTTTGTTTAATGGAAAAACATTGGTTCTACACAGATGGGTCACAAATTAGAAAAAGCCACCAAAGGCCATCAGAATAGCTCCAATGGGCCTTGGCAGAGATTTTTACTGTGGAACTGAAGAGATCAAACACTTTCTGTATGGAAAGTTAATTTATCTGTCTACACGTTCCATAGCTTTTATTTTAACAAATGATAGCCTCTTCATTTTGTTAACTGTTAACGACCAAGAAGAACACCAGTAATTTAGGATTACATAATAAACTGTAAAATAAATGAAATAAAAGACATTCTGCAATGCACATGAACTGCTCATGAGTGCTGTGTGGACTGGGCTTTAGCCTCTAAAGCCTAATTTTATGCTCACTAAAGCTGGTTAGTTAGTTAATTAGTTAACTTTTGTATGTTTTATTTTTGCTTTTGCTTTGTTTGGATACATTTCAGTTGTTTCAAGGAGAGACATTTGACTTAATTCAAGCTCTGAAAAAAGCATGGGAGACCTCTCATATCTTTCTTAAAATTAATTGCAAGGACATCATCATACAGAAAGAGGACAATACATTTCTGAATGATATTGACTCCTTATGCATTTTGCAGAAACCACTTAGAAATTGTGAAAAATTAAACTACATTGATGAAAAAAAAACAAAAAACGATGGAACCAACAACATGCCTGCCACATTGTTTCAGAACGGAGGCTCTGTTATGAAAACGGCACTAACATGCAGGCTCCTGTCATGTCTTTCTTCTTCTTTTTTTGTAGCGATATCAATGTCGTGAAAGTGACGAATAATGTGTTTTATGAGGAGTTTCTTTTAGCAGTTGGCATTCTGCAACCAGCAACCTGACTCCCTTTTTAAAATGAACCTCATTGTTGCGTCTTTCAACAAAGTAGGACACTGAAATCAGGTGTAACACTCCAAGAACTTTTATAAAAGTAGTCATTTTTTTAATTTCAGTTAAGGCAATCCAATACAAAGCATTTCACAACCCACCATATGACAATAATCATGTACAATAAAAACCCATTTAAAGGAAAGTAGGGAGTCATGCAAATCAGAAAACTCAAGAGATATAAACAACAAAGAACTGTGGGATTAGACAAAAATAAAAAATAAAAAAGTGTCAACTGTAACATGCTAATTAGCTACAGTCTTTAACCACTGGTGAGACAAGAAATTTTGGGAGAACCAGGCACAAGAGAGAAGAAAACAGTCCACAGAACTTACTGCCATGTTTGGCAATGACATGCATGTAATCTGGTTGGGCTGGTTCCTATTTTACAGATGGCAGCACTGTGGGTAAAACACTCTGCAATGTACCCCAAGAAAACATGCAGTCGATCCATCATAATAAATAAAATCAGGGCTTTAAGAGGAGATGAAGTCATCGTACTGACAGTGATGATGGGAGAAATGGCTTGTCATACAAACTCCAAAAATAAATAAATAAATAAATATCTTCAAAACAGTCGTTTTCCCAAAAATATATCAAACATATACAATAAGCACTCCTCTCGAGGATAAAGTGCTGTTGGGATCTATATGCAAACCAGCTGTTACATACACTTTATATTCTAATACAAATCCACTCTAATCTTTTCACTGTTAACTGTTTCCTCTCTTACGCGACACAAAGATTCACAAATAAATTGCAGTTTGCCATATTGACCACCATTAACTAATTTTCTTTCCTCTACCTAAGAGCCACACTAATCCACCTAAACTGCTTTCCAATACAGGACTAAATGAGATGGAGTGACTGCCTTTCACATTATTAAGGCCTTTATTTTGCTACATTAGACATTTGAATAGAATATTTTCAGCTCAGATTAATTCTGCTTCTGCATCACTTTGTCAGTTTGAATGGAAAGGACACCTTTTAGAGCCTATTATACTCATTGTAGCATTGTTTTAGCAATTGATTACTCTACAACAATGCGTGGCCGACAAGGTAGTAAACAAAACAGAGAGAAACTGGAATAATTATACTACAATAAGAACAATGACCATAGTGACAGAGTTACACTGCAAAAAGTAGGAGTTAGAAGCACTTTCTGTCCATGATGCAGCTGGTAGAGGCTCTGTGAGGCTGCACAAAGTTGTGTTTTGAGCTAAATGCTAACATAAACATGCTAACATACTTACAATGATAATGCTACTGTGCTGATGTTTAGCAGGTAGCCAATTTTCACCATTTTACTTCCGCATGTTAGCATGCTAACATGCAAACAAACAATTACTAATTGGCACTTAACCCAAAGGCTGAGGCTGATAGGAATGTCGTTTCATTTTTGGTCCTAAATAGATTTCAGGGAATCACCAAAGTCATTAGGATACATCCCCTGGGGACAATGAAATTGAACCCAAGTCTGAACCCAAATTTCAGTTTCAGTGTTGGACTGTCCATCATTGTCATCATACAGCCCCACTGCTAGCGTGACTAGAAAAATCAATAAACTAGGTAAATGAAGGATCTGCATCCAATGAAAATCCCTTTTTATGCAGCATGTGTATGGCTGCCCTCAATCTGAACCTTTCTACATCTACTGCATGAGCAGGGTGTCCTGTTCCATTTATAACTACATCATTACCCTTTCTACTTTAGGCTTTGTACTAGAAAACAAAACAAATCGAAGGAAAAATTGTCTGCAGCTTGAGCAAAATTACTGTGTGGTTTGTTAGATGATGGACATGATGGGAGACAAAACGTATTTCGAGTGATACATATTCTGCACTTTTATGAAAAACGTTCTTCTCTTTGTGTCTGTTCTAATCCTACTTCTCCCCCCGTGTGCTCATTGATCAAAACATCCTTACATGGATCATATTCCTTTTAAATGTTGTCATTTTTAGAGTATTATCGCACTTTTGTAAGGCAACACATCATAGGACCGTCAGGAATTGTAGTTGCATCATTGTGCCAAGATGCATCTCAAATTATAAACTCCGTTACTGATGCGGTAAAATTAGATTTGCTACGTAGAAGCCAGTTTCTTTCTGTTTCTTCACACTAAACTGACGTCACAGATGGTAGGAGGATACAGAAAACTAAGATTAGCACAGAAGAATCCCTCTTTACCCTTTGGTAAAGACAGATTGTTAATGTGTTTACACATGAAAGATTTACTTATGTACTGAATGTAATGAAATTAATCCCATAACTCTGGAGACCACTTGTGAACGGTCTCCCACCAGAGACTTGTAGCACACTGTGGCAAGGACTGGGCTGTATTAAATGTAAATCTCCAGGGAGGAACTGTGTGATCGTACTCACTCACAGTGTGAAGTCTGTGGTGACAGAGGTTATGTGGCTGCTGATGCATGGCCACTGGGGGCTTATGGATTTGCATTGACATGGGAGTCTCTGGGTTGCAGAGGTGGTGTGTTTGTAATAGTATAAGAGCCGGATTAACCCACTATTGGGCCCTGGGGCAAAAATGAGATATACGCCCTAATTAATCACTGTGTCCCTGTGGTTTTCCCAAGTCATTTTACATAAACCAACCAGTGTTCCTACAGTGGAGTGTCACAGTTCCCCCATGTTTGCTGAATGAGTGATATTTTCATTTTCTTACCTTCTGTGTATATTGTGCTTTAGTGGCATATATTACCAAAAAGGGGCAATTAATCAAATTACCACATAGTAATGTGGAGCAGTTGCCCATTTTGCAAGGTTGGTGGCCCAGCTATGATAGTATTTATTACATGTTTGGTTATATTTTGTGTTCTTTATTTATTTGTCCTGTTTCATGGTCCGTCTTTTACTTATGTGGTATTTTGTAGTTACTGCATTACAAAACCAACCAACCAAAACAACTTTTTTGTCTACTATAAAAATAAAAATAAACAGGGGCAGGGGATGATAAATTGGTTGATGTTGTTCTTTCCGATGGGAATTTATCCTTACTTAATGAAACAATGACAATTGCAGATGCAATACAAAGATATTTGACTTGCATGAATAAACTGGGTCCTTTCTTTAGAAACAATAAATAGCAGCACTCAAAATGATTAAATATGAGTAACCTGGTATCAAAGTCATAGTCTTGTCCTTGGTATAGAGACAGGTTGTCTTGTGCTTTTTATATGCAATCACTTATAAATAATTGGTGACCACTTCAAAATGTATAACGTTTCTGACAGATCTATTACATGTCCATGCCACTCTGAATAACATTCGAGAATAAATATATTGGGGAATTAAATTCTCATACAACATGCTCTTATAAACATTTACCTAATAAAGAAGAGAAGATGTGACACCTTATGGTAAGAAATGCCTGATTAATATTCAACGTAATAAATTGTAAACTACACACCTGTAGTTTTTCCTCCATCATAATTGATGCAGATATGGAGATAATCCCCAAATATAAAAACTAATTCCGGAAGGGAAAAGGTGCCTAAAAAATATCACTGTAATAGGCCACACCAATGTCTGACGAGCAAGGCTTAGGTCAAAGTTCACATGTCCTGATACACTTAGAGAAACAACCACAGACAGGCACAAGTTTTAACCACAACATGACCTTTTTGAACCAACCTGCTGTCAAATCAGACGTGAAACAGTCACTGCCTCTGTGTTGATTAAAAGGCTGTTACCAATGAGTCTCAGAAAGTTTGCAGCCTCTTTTTAAGAGAAACCAGACAAATTATTATATTACAGACTAAACTGGAAAAAAAACAACCCAAAATGCTGCTCCAATAGTCACTGGGAGGATACGGCACAAAATTCAACACCCATTTCCTGGTGCGTCAGCTCCTGTTTGCCCCACAAAACAGGAGTCAGAGAGTTCCCTCTGAACTCTGAGTGGCTGCTGCATGCTGTCAGTCCTCAGTGAAAAGCCAGGGGAAGGGCTTCAGATCTGCGTGTGGTGGTGTGTGTGTCCAGGCGGCGTGTAAGGAGGTGGCGCCGGGTTGGGTTTGATCCCCCGGCTCTTCATGTAAGAGATGAACTGGTCGGGAATCTCTGCTAGCACGTCTTTAGCGAGCCGAGCCATGCTTAACACATGGTTGCCTGTCCGGTCCATATAATCTCTGAAGGGAACAAACTGGGAAAAAAAGAGAATAAAGTCTAGTATCATTTTGCTTATATGCTGTAGTAACTTGCTCATGTGGATAAAGAATGTCATGATTTGACAATTAATCAGAAATATTAAACTTTTTCTATTTAATAGAACGTTGCACAAGACTTGACAACATACGGTTTCCTCTGTCTAATACCATCTGGGCGTTTTGGATTATTGTTGTAGTGATTCATGAAAAGCTCTAAATACCTTTTTGATAATGTACACAAGTAGGTTTTGGGAACAGGGTGGTACACTGAATGGAGAAATCCAGAGAGCTCATGTTTAAGCCCCCATGTTTGTCAACATTTTTCAGATCCTGCAAGCTTTAGGATGTTGATCTGTCACTAATCCTGTGCTCTGGCTTCCCTCAGGAGTGAGAGGAAATAAATGAGAGAAAGTGAAAAGTTTTTCTACTAGGGTTTGATAAAAGTACTTTGTATTTTTCCATCCTTTGTAGTATTTGTCAAAGCACATCAAAGTTTTCCCCAGGTAATTGTTTAGTAGAAGTGGTAAGCAACCAAAACCCAGAGAGAAATCTCATCAAGTGAGTCAATTTAGTTAAACAACAAAACAAAATAGCAAAAACAACACAATAGTCATTAAATACCATGGATTGCATTACAGCATACACTGATCAGCCATAACATTATGACCACCTGCCTAATATTGTGTAGGTCCCCCTTTTGCCACTAAAACAACCACCAGACTATTGAAGGTGGCCTGTGGTATCTGGCAACAACAATTAGCAAGCAGATCCTTTAAGTCCTGTAAGTTGTCTAGTGGGGCCTCCATGGATCGGACTTGTTTGTCCAGCACATCCCACAGATGCTCGATTTGATTGAGATCTGGGGAATTTGGAGGCCAAGTCAACACCTTGAACTCATTGTTGTTTTCCTCAAACCATTCCCGAACCATTTTTGCTTTATCCTGCTGAAAGAGGCCACTGCCATCAGGGAATACCGTTTCCATGAAAGAGTGTACATAGTCTGCAACAAGTGGTACGTGTCAAAATAACATCCACATGAATGGCAGGACCTGAGGTTCCTAGCAGAACATCGCCCAAAGCATCACACTTTGATGCCTTCTTCCCATAGTGCATCCTGCTGCCATGTGTTCCCCAGGTAAGCGACGCACACGCACCCGGCCATCCACAAGATGTAAAAGAAAACATGATTCATCAGACCAGGCCACCTTCTTCCATTGCTCTGTTGTCCAGTTCTGATGCTCACATGCCCATTGTAGGTGCTTTCGGCAGTGGACAGGGGTCAACATGGGCACCCTGACTGGTCTGCGGCTACACAGCCCCATACACAACAAACTGCGATGCACTGTGCGTTCTGACACCTTTCTATCAGAACCAGCCTTTTTCAACAGTTTGAGCTACAGTAG